ATTAATAAATTATTATTTTATTTAAAAAATACTAAATACAATTAAATTTTCCAGGAAAATTTGCCTGGAATACAGTTTAAGGGATACAAAAAAAATAATATATAATATATTGTATGTTCCTCTAATCAAAATTTTTATTAATAAAATACAAAATAAAATATATAGTAAAATATATGATAAAATATAGTATATGGTTTTTTATATTGCAAAAATTATTTAAAATTATTTTGATTTATAGTAATATAATATAATAGTCACAGAATAATCAGGAGTTAACCAGTGTAATCAATTAATACTTATTATAAAATAAAAATTGAAAATACAATACTATAGTATATACAAACACATTAGTGGAGTCAATAAACCAAGATAACAAAAAATTACTAGCAATGTATAATTAACAAGATCAAAGCATAATTCTTTATTTTTATAAAATAAATATTGAGAGTAATAGATTAGCTAATTAAATGATATAAATAATAGAGAAGTTTTATTTTAAATTATAATATATATATATTACTCAAGTTATATATATTATAGTAATAAAATAATCTAAAAGATGATTACAATAGACAACTCTGTTTCATGATCATTTCAATTTATATCAAAGTTGAAAACTTACATTCTACTCAGATCTACTCTATACAAGTATCTTTATTGGTAAAAAAAAGGTCTATTTGTTAGATATTTATTACCTTTTCTTAATGTCTTATAAAAATCTATTATATTATTTTTAGTTTGTGACTTCTAAAACAAAATTGTTTTTGCACCAACTACTAGTATTAGCAGATGAAACTTAGAGGTTTCACTTTTTATCTGTGACAAAACCTAGTTTTGACTTTTGCCAAAAAAAAATTAAAATAGTAAAATAATAAAAAGTAACAAAACTGGTTAAACTGACAAAACTAGCAAAACTCTGTGAAACTGTAGCAAAACTAAAAAAGATAAATTAATAAAAAAAGTAAGAATAAAAAGATAAATAAAGATATTAAAATTTTTTTATATAATAAATATTTTTATTTCTATATATATATAATAGGTTTATATAATTTAGTGCATATGTATTGTAACGTATCCATCTGACTGACCAATCAGATCGTAAGATCAGATGTAATATGAAATCGAAAAAAATAGCAATGTTTTGAAAAAATTACTTGTAACTCATAATTTTGTTTATGAAACCATTTTTTGCGTTCTAACAAAAAAAATTTCTTGCAAAATTTTGGGTATAACTAATATTTACTTACAATCTAATCTAATTCTACATTCGGGCTAACCCTTACCCTAAATTAATGCGTTGTTGGTTTGTTTTGATTTTAAATTACACTGGATCTTATGAAGTATGTCACAATGTACTTACACCAAATGATAAAAATCTATATAATATTATATATTATTTAAGAAAATTCTATTTTTACCCAGGTTAAAATCATCTAAAATATTACTAAAACTAGTAGTTGGCTAAAGCAAAGTGAAGTTTAGAGTTATCTTTTTGACACAGTTATTGTTAGTGATTATATAGATATCAAGAATATAATTTATATAGCATGTAGATCATATATTAAATTAACTTCACTTTAGCCGATCCCTAAAACTAGTAATTTTAGTTATATATGTAAATAGTATTATAGTTTATTGGGTATAGTGTTCCAAATCATTAGTTGAAAAATCAACTAGTTACCAACTTTTCAACTAGTCAATTTGAAAAAATTTTAAACACTAATTGATTAATCATTCAACTAGTACAATTCCAAGAAACTCCATCTGATCAGGCAGATCTGTATTAATTTCTTTGGTTTGATTGGCTAATCATCTAATGATACCACATGATGTAAACAATCAATTAGTTGCAACTATAGTTGGCAACTAATCAATTAGTAAAATATTTACCAACTTAGAATACTAATTGGGTGACTTTAACCTGGGTAAAAATAGAATTTTCTAATACAAAAAACAATATATGCATACCATAAAAGTGCATATACAAGACCCACTAAAATAGTAGACTTACCATGAATCAGACCCAGGACTATAACCTGGATAAAAATTTTGGTAATATAAAATAAACCCAGGTATATTATATAAAACAATAATTAGAAGACTCGGTATGATATTAAAACATCATATATATTACATAAAGTCAATAAGTTTTTGACTGCCCCACATAAAAGCCTCACCCGATTATCAGACCAATGTCTATACAACAGACCCCCGGTCTATTAAAGGGTTTAAAATTGGTGGAATGCACCAGATCCGGGTCTTGTATATGCACTTTTACGGTAAATATGCTGTCATACAATGCTTTTTAATCAATAATCTAAATTTTACTATATTTTATATATTATAAATTAATAACAACAGTTATTTTCTTAAAGTTAGACCTAAGATTTAGAGCTAGATAAAATAAAGCATCGGGAAATATTTACCAGTAATAATAGTGTTAATAAACTATATACTTACATATGTATAGTATTTAATTAAAGTTTTTAACGATAAAATATTAAAAAGAAAAAATCTCAACACTCTAACAATAAATTTATTTAAATATTTAGATAGGTTTATTTTACATAAATAATATTAATCCATAGATAAGCGCTACTAAAAAAAACAACTGAATTTATTTTCTTTAATATATAGTATTGAATACAAACAAAAAATTATCACTTTGTTTATTGCTTTTGTACATTTTTAAATAAGCCGCATGCTGTGCATAATAACCATATGCAAAATATTTTGATTTACTAACATGGCTTAATCTTTTCTAAAGTCTTAGAGGGCTTGATCTTCGCCGAATTTTGACTTTCCAAGGGGTTTCAATTTACCAGAGGTTTCGCCAGAGTTTCACCGGAGTTTCGCAGTTTCGCCAGAGTTTCGCCGGAGTTTCGCAGTTTCGCCAGAGTTTCGCCGTTTTGCCAGAGTTTCGCCAGGTTTCGTCTTTCGCCGGTTTAGTTTCGTCTTTCGCCATTTGCCAAAAATAGTTTCGCCTGCCAACACTACAACCACTAGCTTAGAAAATCCCTCCACGGTCCTTGGAACTTCCACATGCTGTAAATCCATTGTAATAATGGTATCTTCAAACAAATACTTCGATGCAGAAATTTTAAGATGAAATCCATTCGATTGAAGATTGTAAGTTTCGATTTTCGTGATATCAGCTTTGGCGTCAGAGGGGAGAGCAAAGAATAGGGTTGTGAGAATCACTTTGGAGCAATACTCTAATTTCTGAAGATCACCTGTCCTTTTGCTGTGGGTGTTTAGAACACCATCTTCTTGAGCAAGGATTTCGGTATCTAAAGATTTAAGAAATCCTTTACCATCTAACTTTGGAGCACTACGACCAGCAATGATGATTATGCCCTTTCGAATACATAACACACATAGTCAGAGGCCCTATCGTCAAGGGGTGAAGACTCAAGCGAAATTTTTTGCATAACTATATATACCCGTAACAAGTAACCTGGGTGGCTGATCTATCAACACAATATAATCTCGTGCAAGAAAATTTTTTATTATTCGGTGAACTTGCTTTATTAATATAATTTAGTATAAATTGTATACATGAAATCGAATTCTAATTTATGAATTTTTAGGGGTTGAAGCTGTTACTGTCATTTCGCCAGAACTATATTCACTATCTCCGGAATCAGAATTATGTAATATTTTATAAATTGTACATGTGACAGTTGTTCTTAATGTCATCAAAGCATGGATAAGCGGGTATATGGCACTCGGTGAAGTCATATGTAGTGGAATCGGTGCTTCCTCTATTAGGCAGTATTTGTAAATACCTGATTCTCTACGCATGACATAAAGCTAAATGTTCGAAAACAATGTGGTTAAACATTATCAATTGGGTATAGGAGCGAAATGTGAAGTAAAAAAATATGTTGGATTACCTGCAATGTTGATAGCGAATATTGATAATATCTGCCTCTTAGATGAAAGATTAAATACCCTTTTAAGCTTTGATATTTTTCTAGTAGTGTCGATAGAATCTTTAGAAAATCGTATTAATTTTTGATGGTCTCGCTGGCGCTTGTCTTGACTGGAATTTGGCCTGCTAGTTTCGAGGTACACAATTTCAAGCTCCGCACCTTTCTCTAGTTGCGCTACAGCCATATAATCAGGTTTCCGTGCAAATTTACGAGATCCTTTTCGTATAGTGCTAGCTAAACTCCCCTCTTCACCCCTATTTGAAAAAAAAAAGAATTAAGCGATATAAGCGAAAAGATTTTATAGCCAATTGTGGAGGTAATGCTTACCATATGGCAGGATTTCCAGGTAAATCACTCATTACTATGTTTAGTAATGGCGCGAGTACTTCACAGACATATGATCCTTCATTAATTGGTTTTCCTTTCTTTGTAAAGGCTTCATACTTAGGTGATTTCCAAACTTTAAACCTACATAGATTATTGTTATCACATCAGATAAGAACCTAGCGAAATCTTGTGAAACTAACGATTCTATTATTCGTTTTGTCATTTCTCGAAGCTTTTCAGGTAGTGTTGGGATCCTGATGTTAATTCGGATATCCGGATTGACATCTGCTACTAAAAATAATCATCCGGATATCCTTTATAAATGTAATGTTATAATCCGGATATCCATTCGGATATATCCGGATGGTACCAGGTTGTACTCTGGATGAAACCAAACGATACAAACGATTATTAACGATATCATCAATTAATTAAATAAACTATCGCTATACTATACTAATAGTAATTATCGTTATTTTAAAAGCTAATTTTCTTTTTTTTTTTTATTAATTCATTTCATATTTCGCTTCATAGCAAAGAAGATATCTTAAATCGGTTAAATGAATTTCAAAAAATATCAAAGACTACTATGCGGCTAACCAAAACCTTTATTGTCAAAGAAAATAGTTATTTTTCGAGAGAAAAGATAAATGTATATGGACAGCTACTTGCTGGTATTAAAAATTTTAAGAATACAAAAAAGCCAAATCTTTATCATTGGGCAAACTGGCTTCTTATCTCTATCAACGGGATTCTGCTATAAAGGCTGAATCATTACAAAGTGAAGCAAAAAAATTCGAATACAACCAGCATCAGTACAATGAAGAAAGCATAAAATTTCTCAAGAAAATGGCGACCCAACCATAATGAAAGCACGTAAAAAAAAGAAAAGCTTTCAAAAAATTTTTAATTTATCAAAAAACAACGAGAATAAACAAAATTAATGATGTAAAAGTTTTTAATCTTTCATAAAAATATACATATTATTACATTTGCAGAATTAACCGTATACTAAATCAAACTTCAAAAATTTTCCTGATATTCATTCCGGACTGGCACGTAAGCATCCGGAGCGAAACCTGGTACACATTTTCAGGGGATTTATAACTGGATCTTGAAAATCAAAATCCTGAAATCCATAATACTGATAGTAAAATCCTGACATTAAAAAATC